ATATATATTTATAAATAAATAATGCATATGGCAGAGCTAACTAATCAATAAACAAATAAGTGAAATTGCAAACAGGCGACTCGAATGGAGAACAAATTCAAAACATCCAGAATATACGACTTTGAATGTATGTACAAATGCGAATATGCTTTATCTCTGTATATATGTKGGTGTGTGTGTGTTTATGTCATTTGGTATTGGTGTTGATTGGCACATACCTGGGGGCTCACTTGGAACTGCTGTATGGGATAGGCCACCACGCCGGCGGCCTGTGGTATTGCAGTGCCCGCAACGCCCGTTGCCAGCTGCTGGGCCGGCGAGATCTGGGCCTGGGTGACGCCTTGCCAAGTGGCTGGTATCTGTACGCCCATTCTGAAAGGGGAGAGGAAGAAGAAGAGTTCGTACATGAGCCAAGAGCCAAGAGTTGTTGACGGCAACAATAATGCACACACACACACACTCAGGCACACACTCAGGCACTCCCAGGAGCCAGCTCTACTACGACAATTACCACCGGCGAGACAGATGAGCTCTGCTCCCTCACATATCCAGCAACTGGCCAGAGTGCAGCATATGGATAAACGTGAGAGCCGTGCACCGTGCACGTGCAGGTAAATATACGCCGCACTCACAAATGAAAACTTTAGCAATTAGCAAATGAATTCACTCATCCGTCATGCTGTCGCTGCCCATCCCCGGTGGCGATTCAATCATGTTGTGTAGAGCGGCACTGGGAATGGGCGAGGGGCGATGGGCGATGGGCAATGGAAAGGTAGCCACAACGCAAGCGCTTCAGCTAATGAAATAATTATCCATAAATCGATGGCAACGGCACCAAGGTTACCTACCCCATGTAGCCCTGCTGATAGCCTCCGTACTGGCTGAAATGGTAGCCCTGGATGCCCTGCAGGAACTGGTTCTGAACGGCCGCAGCGTTGGCCGCCGCTGCAGCTGGTGTTGCAGCGGCTGCGGTCACCGACGAGGCCGGATAGGTAGGCGTCGGCGAGTACCAGCATCCAGTGGCGGCCAGCTGCTGCCCATAGGCGGCGGCGGCGGCAGCAGCGGCGCTCACGCCGTATGGGAAGCCGGCGGCAGCGGCAGCGGCGCTGTTCAATGCCTGGCTGGCCATGGTCTGCGAGTTATTGGGGTCGCCGCTCTCCTTGCCCCAGGAGCACTTCACGGGCTGGGCATTGATCTCGGTGTTGTGCACGCCGACGATGGCATGGGTGGCTGCCTCCTTGGTGGAGAAGCTGCAAGTAGAATTGCAATGGCGTATGACAAATGAGCAGCTAGCCCTGGATATGGGCTCGGGGAGGAGCTAGGGGGAGGGGAGCCAGTGTGAGCCTCAACTTACCGCACAAATGCGTAGCCCTTGTCCTTGAAGACGCGTATTTCCTGTATCGCGCCGTAGGGCGCGAATGTCTTCTGCAGCACCTCCTCGCTGAGTGCGGTAAGGGCGCTATTGACGCCGCCCACATAAACGGTGCAATTGGAGGGACTGCTCTGGTTGTAGACCTCGTCGAAAGTTAACGGCTTGATGTTCTCTGTTGGCGTCGGGTTGAAATATGCAAGCAGAAATTGGCAACGATTGCCATTAGTGGCAATTCATTTCGATATTTCGCAAATGTTGGCCCCAAGCCACAATTAATGACTGCAGTTTTTATGCCTCCCTCTTGCTTTTTTTTATGTAGTGTATAATATTTTATGTCTCTTACAGCTATTGTTGTTGTTGCTGCTGTTGCTGCTGTTGCTGTTGTTGTTTTCAGGGAACTGCATGATTAATATGCAAATTAATTAAGGGTTTTGCCCGCAGCTGAAACGACTACAGCGCCGCTTGCCTACGGTTTTGGTAATTAAAATAACCGCATACACTTAGTCAAAATATTTCCCCACATACGGATATACGGATGTGTGTGTGTGTCGGTGTGTGTGGGTGTATGTATATCTATATATGTATATATGCATATAGATATTCCTGTACGACAGCATTTAACGCTGATGTTGCTGTTGCTTTTGCATTTTTATTGTATTTTTACTTTTTTTTATCCCCATCGTACGTATTTGGTGTGCTTGCAGTTAACGTGTTTCCCATTTTCTCGGTTTTTCGTTTCATATTCAGATGGGAGCCCACATTGTACGCCATATTGTGGCCGACTGTTGGGCACGTAGTATTTCTATGCAAAAGTTACACTAATTACTTCCTTTGAGCTTAAAACAAAATTTGCACTTTTAAAAATAATGTCAAGCTTGCGTGTTTATGTCTTTGTTTAGTTCGGAACAATTTACAGGAGCTCTGCACCAGTCACTGCCAGAATATACGCTTGTTCTCCATTCTCTTTATTTATTGTTGTTGTTGCTGTTGTTTTTGTGGGCCATATGAAAGTTTATGGGATTTAAAAACGATTTTACTACATTTTTTATACTGATTGCTGTGAAGTAAATTCCATTGAATTTACGTTTTTTAATGGACGCAACGCGCAATTTGATTAAAATCATGACAAAAACAGTCATTTATTTATGTGAAAAAAAAAAAAAAACAAAAACAAAAATGAATAAGTACAGCAATTGGTTTAAACGTCAATGAAATTTTTGCAATATAATAAATGTTACAAAAAATATTAAATAAAATATTAATATATTTAAAAAT